GGACATTGGTGAGGCGGTGGGGTGGTGGGGACAATGGCGGGACAGTAATGCAGTGGGGAGAGTGGTCGGGGCAGTGGGGCAGCGGTGGGGGCAGCGGGGGCGGGGGGTCAGCGCGTGGTGGCAGCGGCGGGGAGAACTGGGCAGGGGTGGGTACAGTGGGGGCAGTGGACAGTGGTGGGGGCGTTTGTGGAGGAAAGTGAAGACAGTGGGACCGGGTGAGAACTTTCTCGACGTAGGTCTTGTTAGAAACAGAGCCCCGCCAGCTCGACGCGCCTCTTGTCCTTCTCGTTGAGAATGCGTCCGTGCTCGGTGCCCCTAAGAGAACCGCCGCTGCGTGCCATCTCGAGGGCGGCTTGCTAGCAGGCCGTCATTCTTGCTGCGTCAGTGCCTTGCGCGCTCGACTGGCATAGGCGCATCTCGGCAATAGAGATCTTGTCCACGATGAAGGACAGCTTGTCGAGGATCTTCTCGTTCTGCTTGGCCATGCGCTCGGGGGTCTCGCTTGATCTCGGGCTCGTGCTCTGGGTCGCGGACCCCCTGCTGGGCCGCGACCTTGACTGGGTCGCCGCCTGGACGCCGTCTTCGGGTGCTGGGATGGCGAGGACTCGCGACGCGCTTGGGGGGGCAACATGTGTGTGGGTGGGGATAGGCATTGGGATTTTTGGGGGGATACATCGACTGGAATCGGCGATGTTTATCGCCGATGGGCGAGGAGATCTTCCAAGGGCTTTCCGATCAGACGGTTTTGCGTGTCTGGATTGGTGGGGCTCTCAGGAGGACTTCATTTGAGTGGCCTCCCTTGAAAAACGCGAGACATAACCCAACTCCCCATTTTCGAAGGAGGTGAGCAAACTTCCGAGAGGCCTCTGAGGTGTCCCCTGCCCTCCAAAGCCCGACACCCGCACCTTATGCAGATCCAGTACGGCTCGTGGAAGGCGAGCTCGTGGGATGCATGGCCGCTCCTGGTCCCCAGGGCGAGCTGGGTGGGGCGCGGCTGATTGGAAGGCGGGCCTGGGCACTCTCGGGAAATCCATTCGCTCATGACTTGTTTACATGCTAATTTACTGACCGACGTGCGACAATCTAAACAACACCACCGCGCCTGCATGTTACAGAGAGTGTGAGACGACTTAAGCTGGGCGGCCTGGAGGGCGTCGGGACGAGAACGTTTCTCGATTCTCCGAACTGTCCTGGCCGAGGGCTCTCTGTTTTCATGCTCGAACGCGTGAGGGAGGAGGAGGTGGAGGAGGAGGAGGGAGGAGGTGGAGGAGGAGGAGGAGGAGGAGGGAGGGGGCCACGAACCGTGTGAGGGAACAATGCGTAAAACAAATTCGCCGGCCCAACGGGCCAGGGCGTGCTAAGATCTCCGGTACCTGGTTAACAATATTTCTAGTTCGCGCGCGCGGGGCGGCCCCTGGGGGTCCCCGGGCGAAAGGTACCCCGGCAAGGTCCCGGCAAGTCCCCGGCAAGGTCCCGGCAAGTCCCCGGCAAGGTCGGGCCAAAGATGCCGGAGCCCTGTTACAGGGCCCCAGGACGGGCCAAGAGGCCCCCAAGAAACCTCCAAGACGGTCCAAGAGGGCCCCGAGACGGCCAAAGATCGCCCAACAGGGCCCCAAGACAGCCCAAGAGGCCTCCAGACGGCCCAAGGGCCTTCAATGAGGCCTCCCGGGGGCGGCCCCAAGAGGCCAAAATCGTTGATTTTCATTGTTTTTTTCTATGTTTTTGCGTTCTGGCTTTTTCGGCTTCCGGAGACGCTCCAAGACGGCCAAGTGGCCCCCAAGACGCTCCAAGACGGCCAGAGGCTACCAAGCCGGGCCCCGGAACGGCCCCAGCGAGGGCCCCAAGACGGCCCAAGTGCGCCAAGGACGGACAAGAGCCCAGACGGGCCCCATAGAGGGGCTCAACAGGGGAACCGAGACTGAAAAATCGAGCCCTCCGCCCCAGAAGGCGCCCAGGAGGCCCAAAAAAGGCCCAAAGAGGCCCCCAAGAGGCCCCCAAGACGCCCCAAGAGGCGCCCAAGAGGCCCAAAAGAGGCCCCAAGAGGCCCCAAAACGGCCCCCAAGAGGCCCCCAAACTCGGCTAGCCCACAACGGTGCGACAATATGGGCCGGCGGAATGAGCGAAGCGATTAAATAACTCCAGTGCTCTGCCTGCTCGAAAAACGCATGTAACTTCAAAATCCAATCGGTCCCCATGGCGCTGCCACACCTTCCAGTCTCGGGAACCGATGAGAAAGTGAGAATCCCATGGTCCTGCCGCGCGTTCGTGACTTGGGAAAACTGATATGGTGAGAATCCCACAGCCCTGCCACACGCTCGTGGTTGCGGAAGCTGAATTGGTGAGACCAACATTGCCATGCTCAGCGTTTTTGATGGTCTTGCGAATCACCCTAAAATCATAGCAACTTCGATTCGCAACTTCCCCCAGTAATTATCAAGTTCGGCCTCCGTGCCCCTCTCCACAATTAAATCCTATTGACACGGGATAATACATATTCAGGGGGTTAAGGGGGGGGTATGTTTTATTATCGGGGGCACTCGGTTAATTACCCGGCGGCCGCTGGATGGGTAGGGGTACCCAGACAACACGGATACCCATCCGGCGGCCGCTGGATGGGTAGGGGTACCCAGCCGGCACGGCGGGATACCCATCCGGCGGCTGCTGGATGGGTAGGGGTACCCACTCGGCGCGGCGGGATACCCATCCGGCGGCCGCTGGATGGGTAGAGTGGCCAGCCGGGACGGGGGAGTAACCATCCAGCGGCCGCTGGATGGGTGTAGGTACCCAGCCGGCACGGCGGGATACCCATCTGGCGGCCGCTCATTGGTAAGGGCACCCAGCCGGCATGGCAGGATACTCATCTGGCGGCCGCTAGATGGGTAGGGGTACCCAGCCAGCACGGCGGGATACACATCTGGCGGCCGCTGGATGGGTAGGGGCACCCGGTCGGCATGGCAAGATACCCATCTGGCGGCCACTGGATTGGTAGGGGCACCCGGTCGGCATGGCAAGATACCCATCTGGTGGCCGCTGGAAGGGTAGGGGTACCCAGCCGGCACGGCGGGATACCCATGCGGCGGCCGCGGGGTGCCCAGCTGGCACGGGGAAGTACCCATCCGGCGGCCGCTGGATGTGTGTAGGGGCACCCAGCCGGCATGGCGGGATACCCAGCCGTCGGCCGCTGGATGAGTATAGGGGCACCCAGCCGGCATGGCAGGATACCCATTCGTCGGCCGCTGGATGGGTAGGGGTACCCAGACGACACGGCGGGATACCCATCTGGCGGCGGCCGCTGGATGGGTAGTGGTACCCAGCTGGCACGGCGGGATGCCCATCCGGCAGCCGCTGGATGGGTAAGGGTATCCAGCCAGCACGGCGGGATACCCATCTGGCGGCCTCTGGATAGGGTGCCGAGCTGGCAAGGCGGGGTAGCAATCCAGCGGCCGCTGGATGGGTAAGGGTACCCAGCTGGCACGGCAGGATACCCATCTGGCGGCCGCTGGATGAGTATAGGGGTACCCAGCCGGCATGGCAGGATACCGATCCGTCGGCCGCTGGATGGGTAGGGGTACCCAGCCAGCACGGCGAGATACCCATCCGGCGGCCGCTGGATGGGTAAGGGTGCCCGGTCGGCACGGCGGCATACCCATCCGGCGGCCGCTGGATGGGTATCTGACTGGGTAGGGTGGGCGCCAGAATGGATACCCAGCCAGCGGCGGGAGTACAGCATCCAGACGGGCGGGTCCCGGCAGCATGCCGGGGCGATTCTGGGTCGCCGCGCTCCG